ATCAACAAATGTTCTAAATAATGATAAGGGCGAACACCACACATCTGTTAAAAGAGTCCACCAGTTTTAAAGCAACATAAAGATTCAAGAGGTCTCTTGGTTTTTGGTACTGTTTCTCTCCCTCTCTGTGTGAAACTTGCAAGCTGCTAATTGTGTTATTACATCCTAAAACAGAGTCTGTTCTCAAAGTAATACTTTGTAACAACAGGTTTCAGAGTAACAGCTGTGTTAGTCTGTATTCGCAAAAAGAAAAGGAGTACTTGTGGCACCTTAGAGACTAACCAATTTATTTGAGCATAAGCTTTCGTGAGCTACAGCTCACGACATCTGATGCATTCTGTTTTTGTAACAACAGAAACAGCACCCAGAGACTCCCCGCCCTTTTGTTGTATTAACAATTGTGATTAAAATAGAGATAGAGAATGTATGTGGATGGATGCTTGGTGCGGATAATAACTGAATGATCAGGGAGGTGCCAGCCTAAGAATCCAGTGTCCATCAGCCGAAGAAGGCGTCAAGTGGAAATAACCAGAGGACCCCTGGAGGGCAGACTGCAATCCACCCAACAGCTTCAAGGATGGGAGAACCAAAGAACAAGATAACATCTGGCAGCACGAAGCCGTCAGGAATGTGCCATCTGCTGATGATTCAGCAACAGCATGATGAAGCAATTCCCATAGACTGGCATAGGAATAAATTCCTATAAAAATTGACTCTAGAAAGTCAGAACTTTGGGGTCTGATTCTGCAAACCAACTTCCAGGAGCATCAGATGAGCATCTGACAAAGCCCTGCTTCCTCCTCATGTCCAGGCCACCTGGCCAGTGGCTTGGCATGAGCAACTCTAAGGCTGGTAACTATGGCCTGGTCTACACGGGGGGGAGGGAATCGATCTAAGATATACAACTTCAGCTACGAGAATAGCTATACATATGTATATATCTATAGACATATAAAGCATCATACAGCTGGGTCCTGACAGGCTGAGAGATATGCCATAATACTGTGTACCTAGTTTTATGATCCATGTTGCGTACTGATGGTTTATAAAGGACCCACTTGGCTGGCCCTACAAAATGCTTAACTTTTTCTGCATGTAAAAAAGAGATTCCAAAAAGGCAAAGACCTAACGAACAATATAACCATCTTATTAGCCAGCACTCTTCTTTTAACTAGCATCTGTCACCCTGCTGTTCTGCCCAGCTGTGTCTGGACTACAAAAACACAGGTGAAAGCTAGAACATAGTTGATTTTTATTTCTGCTTCCTGGAAGCTCCCACCAATAGAACCCAGTGAACACATGGCAGCAAATCCTCAGCTGGTGTCAACTGACCTTAGTGGACTGATCACAATTTACATCAGCTGCCCCAGCGTTGAGGCAGAGTGGTGTATAGCATGCCTCAACACTAAGCTATACACCAGGGGTGGGCAAACTTTTTGGCCTGAGGGGCGGGTAGGGAAGTCTGTGCCTCCCCAGACAGCCTGGTCCCCACCCCCTATCCGCCCCCTCCCACTTCCTGCCCCCTGACTTCCCCCCTCAGAACCCCTGCCCATCCAGCTCCCCTGCTCCTTGTCCCCTGACTGCCCCCTCCTGGGACCCCCCACCCCAAACTGCTCCCCCCGGGATCCCACCCCCATCCAACCCTCCCTGCTCCCTGTACCCTAATTGCCTTTATTAAGGTTTATAAAATAACAGAATGGATGATAAATAACAGTTATTCACATCACAAAACACTTAAGTTTTGTAAACAAAAATAAACTGAAACTAATTTAAGATATGGGAGATATATGGCACAAATCTTGGAATCTAAAGAAAGTAACTGACAGTACTGATACTAACCACAGAGAGCAATGTACATAGTTACAGACATTGATTCTTCATAAAACTCTGAAATATTCATTAAAATAGAAAATGCAAAATACTACTAGAGAATATTTCTAATCCATTCACAATCAACCTTTAGAAATAAACATTTACCAAAAATCCCTAAAATTATTCATGCATGCATTAAGTTTCCTTTGTTACCCTTTACTTGCACCGATTTGCTCAGTATTAACATTCTGAGCAAATCAACAAATCAGTGCTCTAATAACTCATTGACCCCAAGCAATCTTTATTAACCAAAATCCTTCCTTGTGGAGTAGTAATTTACATGCATGTTACATAGCCCTAAATGTCTTTTCTGTTTCCAGTGCTCTAAGGAAACACAGAGGAAAAGCTTCTCAGAGGAGAAACTTCTCAAACCAAATTAACGAATCTGAGCATGTATCAGAAGAGAAAAGATATGTATTTGAGGCACCATCAATAGTGCATAGACCAGGGAGAATAAAGGAGTAAGAGGGCAGGTCAGCTGGTCTGTTTTCAGAGTACAAATATTATGGGAAAGCCATTTGGCAGAGTATTATGGGAGGACAAAAAGCTAAGGCCCCCTTCTGCTACTTCCTTCCTGTTTACAAACCAAACATAATGCAAACTAGGCACATAACAAGAAATCCCATCTAAATACTCTGTAGCTGACAAAAGATATTCTGTGATTATGTTTCCACAATGCTGTGCTGCTTCCTAATTAAACAGAAAACTAAATTCTAGCTCAGCCCTTGCTTCTTTTTAAAGCATCTCAGACAAAGCTTCTATTTCAAAGCTTTCTATTTCAAAACTGCATTGCATAATGGTCCAGAGCGTCCTGGCAAAACCTTGTTAACAACTGTAATTCACAAATCTGCATTTTGTCAATGAGCAGAATTTCTCCATGATTTTAGACGTGTTCTAGTGTTACCAACCCACCTTGTGGTGTTAAGGATCAGTGAGTCCTGATTTTCAAAGAACTTATGCTGGGCAATGAAAAGGTTCATTGAAGACTGATAAATTTTACACACACTCTCAGAAGCACATTTTTAAAAAAATAACCAACTGTTCCTTGAAATTGGTTTTCTCATCTTTTTTGTGGAGACCTGTCATGCAATCCAAGCCCTCTGGACAAGCTGGCAAAAGGTTCATCGAGCCTCAGACCTAGGAGAGGTGCAGGAGACAGGGCCGGCTCTAGGATTTTTGCCACCCCAAGCTAAAAAAATTTTGACCGCCCCCGTTTTTTTTTGTGCCCTCCCACCCCCAGCTCTGCCCCAACTCCGCCCCTTCCCAACCCCTTCCCCAAATCCCTGGCACCACCTCCCCCCCCGGGCATGCCGCATTTCCCCCCCACGCATTGCTTCCTGCAGCTCCCCCCCCGCGCAACCCCTTGCCCTCGCTAACCTCCACTCCACCTTCTCCCCTGAACACGCCGCCGCTCCGCTTCTCCCCCCCTCCCTCTCAGGCGAGGGCGGGGCAGCACGTTCAGGGGAGCAGGCGGAGCGGAGGTGGGTGAGGGTGGGGGGGGAACGCAGGAAGTAATGGTGGGGGGTAGAGGAACCACTCCCCTCCCCAGCTCGCCTCCGCTCCACCACCGCCGCCTCCCCCAAGCACGCCGCCGCTTGGCTTCTCTTCCCTCCCTCCCAGGCTTGCCGCGCGAAATGGCAACCCTGGGAGGGAGGAGGGAGAAGTGGGGTCAGCAGCGGCGTGCTCGGGGGAGCAGGCGGAGGTGGAGCGGAGGTGAGCTGCGGCGGCGGGGGCACATTTCTAGCGGCAGCATGGCCGGCGCTGGAATGCTGCCCCTAGAAATGGGCCACCCCAAGCACCTGCTTGTTTTGCTGGTGCCTAGAGCCAGCCCTAGCGGGGGGGAACCTGGCAGCATGACTCCAAGCTGCATTGTAAGAAAACCACCGAGCCAGTGCCGAGGAACTATCTTCACCACAGATAGACCTGGTCTCCTGTGATTTCCCCAGATTCTGTGAGTTTGGTTAGGTGGGCACAGGACCATTGCTCATTAATCAGGGGTATAAGCCCTAGGCCCTAGAACAATTTGGGGGGAAACTCCACAATGGACTCTCTCAGAGTTTTCTTCTCTGGAGTTCCCTCCTGAGTACAAGATGATCAAAACCAATACCAGTAGAAGCAGCAAAAAGTGGAAAATAAGCCTTCTTTTACCCTATGGTTCAGCATCAGAGCTTAATGGGATCATTTAAAGGCTAAAGTTAAGGGTAGGCAATTTTTTTTTACCAAAAAAAAAAACGGGGGAGAGGAGGAGCAGGTGGGCAAAAAAATTGCCATAAGCTATGTTAGTGAAATATTAAGTTGCAAAGTAAGACCACAGTCAATTAATCCAAAAGCTACTGTTCTGACAGCAGTGTTATCTCAGTCCTATCGCATGTGTGTATCATTTTTTATTCCTGAGAATTCATCCATGAAAAGTTGTGTACTTGCATGTTTAGTTGCTCTGGGAAACATGACTTTGAACTTCTTGTTAACAATTACATTGTATTACCACATTTTTGTATTTAATGTAAATAAGCTCAAAGACAGAAACAATATGAAAAAGTTGTCATAAATTAGATAATGTAAAACTAACTGAAAAGTTTACATTCTGAGAACTATTAAACAATAATTGACTTATGTTCAGTTATTCTCAAAGCCAAAGTCACTCTCTAACTTACTTACTTCCTCCAAAATCCAGTACCTTGATTATCGTATTTACTGCAGATCAAAGGCTGCATACTGCACTCTGTTATCTTACAATCGCCTCCAAGCACTTTTTGGCTAGATCTTACTCCAAAACGTTTACTCCCTTTATTAAAATATCCCATGTTCATCAAGGGAGAGTATATGTTTTGGTAAACAGACAATTTAATTCCCATTTCAACCCCAACTAAAATTTCCAACAGCATCATTGTCAAAGTAATATGCTTTTAAACAAATTGATTGACTGACAAAACATGGTTGTTTAAATTAAGTAGACTGATCCATCAGATCTTACCTTCATCTAAAGGCTGTAATGACTGTATAGTACCTATTTATAATTAATTGTAAATTGTCTGGGTCCCTAAAAACTATCAAGTACAGCTGCAATCATTTTATTAGGCTTATGTCACATAGAAAATAAATTCTTTTACACATCTGGTATTACTCACCTGTCTTAGATCCAGGGTGATGGTGACCCAGTGGTATTCCCTCCCATTCTGAATGCTGGGACTTTGCCACCAGTTATTCGTACCATCTATAGCATTGGAGATAGGGTGCTGTTCTGTTTTTAAATAACAAAAAAATTCTCTTAAGAATAAATGTCATTATCTTATTTTTTCTTAGTATTTTTAAGCTGCATGCTGAATATTTTTCTCCTCATAACAATCATCCATAAAGCATGTTTAGGGTGAAATTGACCCCTGTGCAGAAAATCATTATTAGGCCTATCCTCAGGGCTAAAGTGGTACTTCAGCCTCATGCTGGCACTCTGCACAAAGGTCAATTCCATCCACAATGATACAGACCAACATTAATAGGTATTCATGGCAGATATGTACCTTACACACAGACCTGTGAAAGTGTGGAAAGGGACCAAAAAGATATAACATCATAAACTTGCCTTTGGGGTTAGCACTGTTGTGGTCGCACACCCTGCACTGTGCATTGCGTAGAGGTCGGCCCGGCACATGTTCCACAAGTTTGCAGAACATCTCTGGTCCCTTCTCACCACAGGTGGCATTGGTGTTGATATGAGCATGGCTAGCCAGATTTAAAATAGCAGGAAACAAACCTTAAAAAACAAAAATGAATACCAATCATATAATAAGACGATTGATTAAAACAAAAATTGTTGGCTACACATGTGGTCATATGGGGTTTCACAGCAAATGTCTGCCTCACCATGTATGTCCTAGAGCAGTGGTTCTCAGAGTGTGGGTCAGGACTCCAAAGTGGGTGCAACTAGCTAACTAGCTTAGACTTGCTGGGCTTGGGGCTGAAGCCCAAGACCCACCGCCCGGGGCCAAAGCCCGAGGGATTCAGCCCCAGGCGGTGGGGCTCAGGTTACAGGTCCCCTGGCTGGGGCTGAAGCCCTTAGGCTTCGGCTTTGATCCCTTCCCCACCCAGGGCAGTGGGGCTCGGGCTTTGGCTTTGGCTTCCCCACCCATGGCAATGGGAATCAGGCAGACTCAGGCTTCGGTCCCCCCTCCTGGGGTCGTCTCATAATTTTTGTTGTCAGAAGCGGGTCATGGTGCAATGAAGTTTCAGAATCCCTGTCCTAGAGAGTTTGGAAAATGGAAAAGATATGCTGAGAATAAGTTACCTTTATGAAATGAATTCTGCATTGTCTTACAGATAGTGTAAGAGTGCAATAGCATTATCATTCCATGTCATATCTGGACCACCACTGAAGAATAAAATAGTTATTTTTAAGGGCAGAAACTGAAACCTATTTTCACAGTATAAACAAATGAAATCCAAGAGGCAAATTTAAAGTGCCTAGGTATAAGACTTACATAACTGGTACCCCATTTCTGTGGAAGGTGACTTTTAATTGGAATTCACAGATGCAGAAATACTAATGACTTGGGCAATGTACTTTGAACCTCGAAGCTTTATTTGAGCTCCTGTACATCCCCCTAAAGATTGAATGTTAGGCCCTGGTTCTCTGCTCTTCTGCAGCCCTATAAAGCATAAGGAGGATTCTTCATATGTTGCCTCCCATCTTCTGCAGTTTGTGGCATAGTAGTAGAATGGCACGTGTTTGGAAAGAGAGAAGGTATTAGCTGGAATGCAGTGAGCTCCAGCTATTCTGGGCCCAAGAAATTGTAAATGAGTGGTAAACAATGGTTTATACTGTCACCATCTTGCTTCAGAACAGACCATTGATATGAATGGGGACAGTTTGCACCACTCATTTATTGCTTCCACTCAGAACAAGGCCCCTGGACAAGTTGTCTGCGTGAGATAAAGGGGTAATTGTTAGTTTGAAGGTAATAGAGGATCATTAACCATAATCCAATCACTAGAGGGGGACAGAGACCAACTTCGTACACAGCAAAACAGTGTAATAACTGATATTTGAAAAGTTACCATCCCCAAATTAATAGCTAATAAATTTTTTTCTAATGAAATCTTAAACTCTACAGAAAACCAAAGGTCACTACAGTAGTGCTGGTATGGGGGTGGGTGGCTAAATCTAACCTCTGCTGTTATAGCACAATTATCCTTGTAACAGGCATGCTGTCCCTTTAAGGCAGGCTACAATATCATGACCCTATTCCCTGTTCAGCACAGAACCAAAGCATTTGGGGGTTTATAATTCCCAGAGGCAATGTAAAATGTATGAGAATTTGAGAACGAGAATAATAGGACACTACAATGAACAATGCTGGGAAGAGTGCAGATATAAGAACAGGGTGCTTATTTGTATAAGAACTAAGCCACCAGGTGGGTACTGGGATCTGCCATGAGCTTTTTTACTGAGAGACTAGGAAAGAGTTTGGAGCACTAGGGAAATGGCTTGGGACAACCTAGGGAGAGGGACTGGACATGCAGACAGATGGCTGAATATGATACCATGAGGAGGAGGTATTATTTTGGCTAGAACCTGAAGGCCAGAAAGAGCTAACTCTTTAGAGGGCAATTAAGGGACTGTGGCAGAGTTAGAAAAGAGCCTTGGTGGAAGAAAAGTGGCAGAGAGTTGGTGACTAGACCTGATGCTATTTCATGGCTGAGGGCCCTAAGGCTGGAGTTTAGATGGTTTAACACCCCTTTGGATTCTGAGGGGTATTGCTTTTGTACCCTAGTAATGGGAAAAATAGATAGACCCTTGGGGAATGCCTATGACCTTGGAAAAAGACAGGGTGAAGGATCTGAACTCTTGTTAGACTGGCAGAAGTAGATTTTTGGTGTAGCTGGAGGGTTAAACTACACTCCCAGCAAGAAAACTGAAAAAGTAGCTACATCTGACAGAGAGAAGGTAAGTCACTGTTACAGCCCCTTAGTTCCTTTTTTCTGTTTTCCAACTTTTCTCTATAAAATGTACCCAAGCAAATTAAACTCACTTCAAGGTGATAATACCGTTTGTGATAATACTGTTTGTGTTTATCAGGCTGAGATTTGCCTGTTTGTGTTTATCAGGCTGAGATTTGCAAGTTGCTCCCTTTCCCCTGCAGACGTTAAAATCAGAAGTAACTTTGGGAAAGAGAAACAATTCTGGAGTTCAAGGCTGTGTTTAAAGATTAAAAATGATGGGCCACAACTAAGACCCTACTCCCAGATCAGATATGGCATATTAAAAGTGCCGGAAGCAATCATGACAGGTTTCAGAGTAACAGCCGTGTTAGTCTGTATTCGCAAAAAGAAAAGGCGTACTTGTAGCACCTTAGAGACTAACCAATTTATTTGAGCATGAGCTTTCGTGAGCTACAGCTCACTTCATCAGATGCATACCGTGGAAACTGCAGCAGACTTTATATATACACAGAGAATATGAAACAATACCTCCTCCCACCCCACTGTCCTGCTGGTAATAGCTTATCTAAAGTGATCATCAGGTGGGCCATTTCCAGCACAAATCCAGGTTTTCTCACCCTCCACCCCCCCACACAAATTCACTCTCCTGCTGGTGCTAGCCCATCCAAAGTGACAACTCTTTACATAATCAATTCGGGCTATTTCCTGCATAGATCCAGGTTTTCTCACATCCCCCCACCCCCATACACACACAAACTCACTCTCCTGCTGGTAATAGCTCATCTAAACTGACCACTCTCCAAGTTTAAATCCAAGTTAAACCAGAACATCTGGGGGGGGGGGGTAGGAAAAAACAAGAGGAAACAGGCTACCTTGCATAATGACTTAGTCTCTATTTAAGCCTAAATTAATAGTATCCAATTTGCAAATGAATTCCAATTCAGCAGTTTCTCGCTGGAGTCTGGATTTGAAGTTTTTTTGTTTTAAGATAGCGACCTTCATGTCTGTGATTGCGTGACCAGAGAGATTGAAGTGTTCTCCGACTGGTTTATGAATGTTATAATTCTTGACATCTGATTTGTGTCCATTTATTCTTTTACGTAGAGACTGTCCAGTTTGACCAATGTACTTGGCAGAGGGGCATTGCTGGCACATGATGGCATATATCACATTGGTGGATGTGCAGGTGAACGAGCCTCTGATAGTGTGGCTGATGTTATTAGGCCCTGTGATGGTGTCCCCTGAATAGATATGTGGGCACAATTGGCAACAGGCTTTGTTGCAAGGATAAGTTCCTGGGTTAGTGGTTCTGTTGTGTGGTATGTGGTTGTTGGTGAGTATTTGCTTCAGGTTGCGGGGCTGTCTGTAGGCAAGGACTGGCCTGTCTCCCAAGACTTGTGAGAGTGTTGGGTCATCCTTTAGGATAGGTTGTAGATCCTTAATAATGCGTTGGAGGGGTTTTAGTTGGGGGCTGAAGGTGACGGCTAGTGGCGTTCTGTTATTTTCTTTGTTAGGCCTGTCCTGTAGTAGGTAACTTCTGGGAACTCTTCTGGCTCTATCAATCTGTTTCTTTACTTCTGCAGGTGGGTATTGTAGTTGTAAGAAAGCTTGACAGAGATCTTGTAGGTGTTTGTCTCTGTCTGAGGGGTTGGAGCAAATGCGGTTGTATCGCAGAGCTTGGCTGTAGACGATGGATCGTGTGGTGTGGTCAGGGTGAAAGCTGGAGGCATGCAGGTAGGAATAGCGGTCAGTAGGTTTCCGGTATAGGGTGGTGTTTATGTGGCCATTGTTTATTAGCACTGTAGTGTCCAGGAAGTGGATCTCTTGTGTGGACTGGACCAGGCTGAGGTTGGTGGTGGGATCGAAATTGTTGAAATCATGGTGGAATTCCTCAAGGGCTTCTTTTCCATGGGTCCAGATGATGAAGATGTCATCAATATAGCGCAAGTAGAGTAGGGGCTTTAGGGGACGAGAGCTGAGGAAGCATTGTTCTAAATCAGCCATAAAAATGTTGGCATACTGTGGGGCCATGCGGGTACCCATAGCAGTGCCGCTGATCTGAAGGTATACATTATCACTTTAGATAAGCTATTACCAGCAGGACAGTGGGGTAGGAGGAGGTATTGTTTCATATTCTCTGTGTATATATAAAGTCTGCTGCAGTTTCCACGGTATGCATCTGATGAAGTGAGCTGTAGCTCACGAAAGCTCATGCTCAAATAAATTGGTTAGTCTCTAAGAAGCAATCATGTCTTTACTGCTGTACCAGAGAGGCTATTTCTGAGGCTGGTCCTGAAGGGATTATTTTTTCCAGTTATAAAGAATTAAATTCATGATTATTTCAATAAAAATAATTTCAATTGTATTCCCAATAACATATGCCTTCTTTCATTAGTTTCTCAAGTTTCTTCAGCACGTATGAGGAAAGCTTTTAATAGCAGTGTTTTGGTTTTCTAAGGCAGAGCTAAATATGACTGCAATTTAACCAAAGAGTCTTTGTATGGTAATTACACTCCCATGAAAAGCCTGAAGGAACTATTTTAGTTCAGTTTAAATCTTAACTTCAGCTCAAAATGTGGCAAAATCCTAATGTATTGAAACACAATCTGAACAGTGATCAATGTGTTTTCAACTGTATTGTATTCAAAACATTAAAGAGGACAGGAGGGAGAGGAGCTATAAGCTGAATCAAACATAGTCCTTATTTCTTGTTCTCATTAGATGTTTTAATCAGCAGCAGATGGGTATTTCTGTAACACTGAAAATTTGTCAGTCTCATTGATATCTTTGCATGCCATGTGCTGAATATGGTCC